AAAGGCATACTGGGAGTGGTGGGAGCCACACAGGAAAAGAACCGAGTGCTGTGCTAGGATAAGGTTTGCAGGGCAGGAGCCAGGAAGTGCATTAGGCTGAGAGCTGGGGCCCAAGACAGCATTGGTCTAGCATCACTGTCCCCAGAACTTAGAACACCTCTGCTGAGGTGTAAAACCGGCCCTTGTGAAGCCGGGCCATCCCCAGGCTGCAGGCCAGCCACCGACCCACTGAGCAGCCGCACCAGCAGCAGAACCACCAGGAGGCAGCCCAGGAAGCTTGACCGCTGAGGGCGCTCTAGAGGGGGTGCCCCGTTCCCATCAGAAACCACAGTGCATCTCTTGAGCATGTGGTCATGGACTCTGTGACACTGTGACCCACTGTGCGGGTCACCAGCCAGGTTTCTTCCTATTGGCCTTTTTCGTGCCAGACCTGAAGTTGTGACCTCCCTAAGAAGAGTCTAGAACTCAGTGGTTTTGTTTGGGTATGTCGTTTTTTCTTTTTTGGGACAGAGTCTTGCTCTGTCGCCCAGGCTGGAGTGCAGTGGCGCAATCTCAGCTCACTGCAACCTCTGCCTCCCAGGCTCAAGCAATTCACCTGCCTCAGCCTCCCAAGTAGCTGGGATTACAAGTGCCCACCATTATGTCCAGCTAATTTTTGGGGTCTAAGGGCACAGGCCTGCTCCGGGGCCTTGGGGGAGCTTCTCCTTGGTACAGAAGCACAGGAGAGGTTGCTTGGTGGACGATGGAGGTGGTAGCCCAGGGCAGGCCTGCTGGGACCTGTAATGAGTAGGCTCGTGAGCAGCAGGCAGGGGCCTCACTGTAGTTGCTGCTGAGCATTCAAGGTTGACAGGAAGGCAGCCACAGGAGGCTGGGGGCATGGAGTTGTTACCTAGGTATTACCTAGGGTTCCTGGATGGGCCTCCTGCTGCAAGCAGGATGCAGGCCTGTCTGAGGCTGGAGCTGGAGGCCTCTTTGCAGAAACCCAATCAGGGAAACTAAGGCACAGAGCTGCCATCACCTAGGTCATGCTGTCTGCTCAGTCAGCCAGGCCTGGAACCCAGGTCTTGGGCCCCACAGGTGGGGCTGGCCCCAGTTTGGCATCTTACAGAACTCCTCCCTAGACCCCGTCCTTTATGTGTATGCTCTGGCAGACCCTGGAGAAGCCCCCAGACCACCCTGCGTCCAGGCTGACCTGGGAGCCATGGCATCCCTGGGTACACAGGCCCTTGGCCAGGACCCCTTTGTCCTGTGTTTTGAGCACCTGCTGTGCAGAACATGGCAGCCACTGCCCTCTGTGGAACAACCTCATTAAGTCAGCCTCTTGGTGCAGCAGCAAGGGAGATCCAGGCTTAGCTGTCACTCCTGTTGCCTCTGGGGAGACCCATCAACCTGGCAGCAGCAAGGGACTCTGGGGAAATGTGGAAGTGGCAACAGATATTCAGACGAGCTTGAATTCCCCAGCCCCCAGTGCTGCCAGCCACCAACTACCAGTGTCGTCTTGACAAAGTGGTTTTACCCTGCAAAGCCTGGGTTTCCTCATCTCTGCACAGATACCCTGAGCCTTGGCCCACCCCACTGAGGCCAACCAGGCTTCGCTGCTGCCCCCACCTTCCTGGCCCCCTCTCTCAGTGCCCTCCTTTGGCCAAGCCCGCTCTGTCCCAGGTGGTTCTGCCATTTCCCCTGCAGGTCACAGCTCTTCCCTGCCTCTCTCCAGGGTGAACCACCACTGGCAGCAGGGCCCGTGACTGGCAGGTGGAGCTGGAGCGGTGGGTGGAGGATCGCGCATGTGCTCCCTATGACTGAGCCTGACTGTGCACTGGGGACTTTATGTGTATTAACTTGTTTATCCCCTAGCAATCCCATTAGGTGTATCCTTACAGTCTCTGCACTTTATAAATGAAGACAGAGACCCTAAATAATCTGTCTGGCTGAGCAGGGATTTGAACCTAGGCAGCCCACACACACACACACACACACACACACACACACACACCCTAGGCAGCACACACACACACACACACACACATGCGCGCATGCACACCTTGGGAGCCAAACCTTCTGGCCAAACCATGTCAGAGTCTGTACTGTACTGTCCAATAAAGTAGCCACTGTGGCTCTTTAAATCTTAATTAAACAAAATGGAAAATTCAGTGTTTGAGTCCTACTGGCCACAATTCACTGTTTGAGTGCTCAGCGCCACTGTGGCCAGTGGCCGCCATACTGGACAGGGCAGATAGAGACCATTTCCATCACCCCAGAGAATTACGCTGGACAGCTCCTTTGAGGGCACCACTGGGTGTTGGGGACAGAATTAGAACATTTGGTGCCATTGAGGGTTAAAATAGGAGTGGACTTTCTGGAGGAGGTGCCCCTTCCCTAGGCCTTGAAAGTTGTGAAACATGAGACAAGAGAGGAGGGGGCCTGTGGTGGTGGCAGCACAGACAGCCGCAGTCTGCAGCCTTGCCTCCCATTGCAAGCTTTGAGACAACAGGCAAGTGACTTAAGCTGTCTGAGCTGCATCTGTAAAATGGGGCTAATGCAGCCGCCTCCTTCGGGCTGGGTACATCTGGGTGCTTGGTGCTTGTGGGTTTGCCATGTGGCATCCAGGAAAGTCTGGGAGGTTCGAGTTCCTTCACTGTGAGAGGAGATCACCGGGCCTTGCAGGACTGTGCAGGTGGGCTAGGTGTGTACAGGGAGAAATGTGGGGCCCTCCAAGCCACTTTCCCACAGAGGCAAATCAGGAACAAGCACAGCCTGGCCTTGACTGGGCTCCTTGGCCTCCATGGGAAGTTGGGAGCCCTTGGCCTAAGCTCCCAGTCTCAGGTTGAAAGCAGACCAGGGCTGGAGAGCAACCCAAGAGGCCTGTGCTCTGCAGTGGGACCCTGCTATCTGCCTGTGTCTCACACATTCCAATACGTAGACCAGGCACACTTCTGCAGATGGGGCTGGTGTCGCTTGAGGGGCAAAGCAGTCCTCTGGCTCCCTGGAAACAAGTCCCCACCCCATTGCCTGAACAGGGAAAACCAGAAGCCGCTACAAATGTGATCCTTAGGCTCAGAGCTGGTGCCACCACCTTCAGGGAAAATCTCTTTAGGACTACTGCTCCTGGGTTGCTCTCAGCAACTTCCTCTAAAATCTGAGCCAGCTTCCTCTGGGGCTCAGTCCAGCCCCAGATGCCTGTCCTGCTCCCCCAAGACATACAGCCTTCTTACCCTCCACTCCCAGCATGCCCGCGCACACACACACAGGCTCACATCTGTTCCTGCCCCTCCACCTTTGCTCACACCATCCCTTCCACCCCAAATCTCCTTCCTGCTTCTGCTCTTTCTAAATATTCATCTTTCAAGGTCTAGCTCCAGTGCCCTGTCTTCCACCTGTAGCCCTCCCTGACCACACCAGACCACTGATCTCCCTGTCCTGGGAGTTCCTATACAATATTTCCTTTGACCAAGCTTTGGGGCACCTGATCACAAAGGAATTGGTATGTTGTCTTTTCGTAGGTATTTGCCTTCTCTCTCCAGCTAGATGGTGAGCTCTTCGAGGGCAGGACAGTGTGTCTTCTGCTACTCTCCTGCTTCACACAGAAGACTGGGTCTAAGCAACCCTTCAGTTGAGATGTGTATAGATGGTGGATGGATGATGGATGGTGGATGGATGATGGATGGATGGTGGATGGATGGATGGATGGATGGATGGATGGATGATGGATGGTGGATGGATGATGGATGGATGGATGGATGGATGGATGGATGATGGATGGATGGTGGATAGATGATGGATGGATGGATGGATGGATGGATGAATGGATGGATGGATAATGGATGGATGATGGATAGATGGTGGATGGATGATGGATGGATGGTGGATGGATAGATGGATGGATGGTGGATAGATGATGGATGGATGGATAGATGGATGGATGGATGATTGATGGATGATGGATGGATGATGGATGGATGGTGGATGGATGATGGATGGATGGTGGATGGATAGATGGATGGTGGATAGATGATGGATGGTGGATGGATGGATGGATGGATGGATGATGGATGGATGGTGGATGGATAGATGGATGGATGGTGGATGGATAGATGGATGGATGGTGGATAGATGATGGATGGATGGTGGTTGGATAGATGGTAAATAGATGATGGATGGATGGATGGATGGTAGATGGATGATGGATGGACTTGGAGAGAGGCAGGGAAGGTCTTTAAATATAGGGGACCGTCTTTGACCTTTGCCTCAGGGACTTCATTGTTGAACTCTATCACCCCATTTTGTCACTCCCCCTTCCATGGAAGTCCAGGGAGCCCCTATAGCCAAGAGTAGTCTGGTAACACAGGGAGCAGGATCTCAGGTGGCGTGAGGAGGCACTCCTGGTACTCCATGGCAATGGGTTGAACTGGCAATCCCCTGCTCCATCTCCCCCTCTAGGAAATCAGCTGTGAGATTCCGCCATCCTCCCTACCTCCCCTAGCCCTGCCTCCTCCCACTCCCATGGACTGCTCCTCAGTGTCACATGTAGGTGGGACTCCTTGGAATGCACATGGTGGGAACTCAGGCCTGTCATCATGGTCCTGTGTCAGTGCCCTGAGTGATAGAGCCAGGGTCTCACAGGCCATACTGGGAAGGTGACAGTCAGCACCTCCCGTATTCCAGACATCATCCACACTCTTAGTCTAGCCCCTGTGAACCTAGGCTGTTGGGCTGGGGGTCCTTTCCATGGGCCAGATGCCATTCAAGAGATTTGCACATTATCCCATGTAATCCCCACAACAGCTCTATAAGATAGCAACTATTTAACTCTCTTTTACAACCAAAGGTACAGAGCGGTGAAATCACTTGTTTATATCACAAAGCCCTAGGTGGCTGAACCAGAGTTCTAACCCACCCACCCATTTAACTCCCTGCTCTGAGGCCTGGACATGGTAAAGTCTGTCCTGAGGCTGAAGACACACTTCGGGCCTTTGCCCAGAATAGTGGAACAAGTCAGAGGAGACAGACAGACAGTGCTTTGTTCTTTCGCTATGGACAGAGCAGTAGCAGAGACCTCTGGGATGTTCAGGAGACAAGCAAAATACGGGGGGGTTCGGGGGTCTGTGATGTCCGTAGCATGTGGCTTCTCTGGGACATAGCCTGGGGAGCCCGAGACCCCTTCTCTCCACAGGAATTCATCTTTTTCACCCAGGGCAGGAATTCCAGCCTCTCTGGACAAGCCACATGGTCACAATGGGGTCCATTCTCAGAACCCTGGAAAACACAGGCCCTGCGGAGAAAGGATGGATTCTTGTTAAACACAAGGGCTCTCAGTGCCACGATTTAGATCAGGGAGCAAATAGGGGCAGAGAATGGCCTGCAGGCCCCTCTGTCTGTCTTGCCTGGAGGTCACTGCCCCTGGAGACCATTCTGTGCAAAGGCTCTCAAAAGCTAGAACAAAAACCCAGCTAGGGGCTAAGTGGGGTGAAAAAAACCCCCCAACTCCCCAGCCCTCAGTGACCAAAGCCCCTTCACCCAGCCCCTTCCCTCAGTCCTGCCTCACTTGGTTTCTGGAATATGCTCCTTCTCACTGTGGTGGTTTCACAGAGAATTCGAATTCTCACAATAGCCCTGTGAGGGCACTCAGAGTAGCCTCCAGTTAGAACTGGAGAATCCGAGGCCCAGAGAATCTCTCAGTGTTTTTCAAACCTTCCACAGTAGGAAATTTCACACTGCAACCTGATACACAGACAGACAGACAGACATCTGATGCAGGTGCCACAGAACAGCCTTGCCCGGGGTGACTCACGGATCATTTCTAGTCTGTTCTTTTTGAAATGCTCACTGGGACCCATACATTGATTCCAGAACTCACTAATGGGTCACTGCCTGTCATTTGAAAAGCACTATGTTTGAAGTGGCTTGTCCAGTGCCACCAACCCCAGAGGGACAGAGCTGGGCCCAGAACCCGAGTCTGCTGACATCCTCCAACCCCCAGCTGTCAACCTCGCCTCAACAAAAATTTTCCTCCAGCCAGGATCTAACCACATCACTCCCCGATTCTGCAAACTTCTAGATTTCACAGCCAGACATCAGAGCCTTGCCCAGCCTGGGCTTTCATGGCCTGTCCACCCACTAACGCCCCACTGCCCAGTCCGCAACAGTTCAGAGCTGCTTGTTCCTGCTTCTAGACCTTTCCCCCTCCATGGATCCAAACCCCCTTGTCCTTCAAGGCCTCCTTCTCCAGGAAGCTACCTGGGATGTTCTGAGACCCCCTTGACCTCTCCTTTCTCTGCACCGAGTGTCGCCTCTCCTGTCATTCTCATCATGGATGGTCTGAGAATGTTACCTTTTCATTGGACTTACATTATATATATCTCCTCTGCCTGCCTGCACAGGCCTTGACGAGATTGCCTACAGTAGGAGCTTAACAAGTGCTTATAGGGTGGTAACGACAGTCTAAATCATGATGTGTCTTGAGGGCCCCACATCACTCCCCTGGCAAACATTGCATCTTCCCCAGCCCTCATACTCTAGGTGGTGCCCATGTCCTCAGTGACAGCTGGGCTCTCAAGGTCACCCCCAAGTCAGCTGTCTGGCAGCCCAACTGGCCTCTCGAGCACTTCCCAGTGGCTGTAGGCCCCACAGACAAGCTCCTGGGCCCAGCAGCCAATGTCAGCCAGACAGGAGGGGAGAATACCAGGCTGGAAGTTCGGGCGTGTGTCCTTCTCTGCCAAGGTACTTGCTAACGGTAGGGAGAGTGGTGGGAGCCAGGTGGGCAGTTGAGGGCACGACCCTGCAGTATTCATCAGAACTCCACCTGGTGGTCACTCAGCACGCTTCCACAGAGCTGGCCCCACCAGGCCCAGCTTCCTCTCCTCTCTGTCCCGTGCCTCAATGGCTCTTCCTGGCTTCACCTCTCACTCTGAGAACCCCGAGTGGCAGGATGGCCACCTCCTTTCCCCAGTGAGGGCCTGCTGCCCACCGCTGGTGTGACCTCTCTTGGTGGCCCAATCCCTAGTGGACCTCAGCGCAGCCCCTCGGGAGCACTGTGGGTCAGGACTGTCCCTTTAGCTTCAGGAGCCTGGGCCAGCCACTGAAGCCTCAGACCTCAATTTCCTCATCCATGAAATGGGTGAACACCTGCTCTGCCTACTTCAGAACACCAGAGACTAAATCCTGGGAGTTTTCAAGGGGAAGGCAGAGTGTGGGGAGCCATGTGTCAAAACGGGGCAACACCTGTGAATTGTATCTGGCCAAGATCAATGAAAGGAAAACAGAAAAACCCTTTAGGTATTTTCATGCTAACTCATGAAAATACAAGCCCTTTATATCTCTTGGTTTTGGGGCTCTGAGAGTTGGCCACTCCTTGGGAGGTTAAATATGTCCTAATAGATGGGTCCAGAGGCATGTGTCCATTCCTGTGGGTCAGGGATAGATGCACTTCCTGGTGCTCAGCGCTAGGCAGAGACCAGTGGTGGTTTTGGCATTTGCTAAAGCCCAAAACTCTGAAAGCGGGGCTGGAATCATCCCTGCCTGGCACTGCCTGCAGCCTCATGGTGAGATCCTTGAGAAAAAGCTCCTTTCATTTCAGGAGCGCTGCAGGGCCCAGATTTAAACAGGCCTTTGCCACCTGCATAGCAACTGAGGTGGGGTCTAATGGGCCCAGGTGTGAAAGAATAAATGGCAAAGACAATTTATAGCAGTTTCTATGCGAATGCGAAGCCCGTTCTGCATACGTACATTGCATCCTCTGCAGACCCTGAGGGCTTGGTGCTGCGATTGTCCCTGTTCTACAGCTAGAGAAGTAGAAACTCATGAGGCTAAGAAAGTAGATCAAAGGCACTCCCCGCCCCTACCGGCCGGGATTTGAACTGGAGGCCTCCATCTCCAGAACCTGCCTCATCCAGACGCAGACTGCATCATCCTACAGGGAGGGGCCGCACCACCTGGGATGGGGAGATGAGCCACACCACCTGGGGATGGGGTGGGGTGGGAGTGAGGCAGCAGGAATCCTTGTTTAGATGGGGAGGGATGGAGTGCTGGATGAGGGAACTCCATACCTTTCCCAGCCAGGCCATTCCTGTGGACCTCAGGAGATCACCCATCCCAGTTTGTCCAGTTTGAGCCCTGAAAGTCCCATGTCCCTGTTTTCCTAGGACTATGGGTCACTGTACCTGTGGTCTGAGTTACCCCTGGACCAGCTGCAGAAAGTGAATGGCTGAGTGGTCTGATGCGAGGGAGCTGTTTGAGGACACAGTCTGGGAGGCCTTTTCAATTACATTAGCCTCTGGCGACGCTAGAGGGAGATGCTAGCCCAGCCCTTCCCCCCTCCCCCCTCCCACCTTCTTCCTGTGGCTCCCTGGGATAGTGATTCAGCAGCAAGTCGGAAGCAGGCTAGACTGTGACTTACCAGGAGTGGAGTCACTGGCAGGGTGGGGGCTGTCAGCACCAGCTCAGGGCAAGAATTGGAGCAAGGAGGGGGCGTGGACTGCAGAAGGACTCTCATGGGAAGGAGAGGGCTTCTTGAGTTGGTAGGAAACTGAGCCCCAACGCAGGGCCGCTGCTGTCCTGCCAGGCCGGGATTGCTTGTAGGGCAGTGGGAGGTGGTTGTGGCATGGAGGGGGATCCCTGCCTTTGCCTCTTGCCCTCGTTTGTGAGGGATGGGGGAGTCCCAGCCATTGGATACCTAAACTGCTTATCAGCCTATTCAGCAGCTAAAAATATGAAATGGTTTTGCTAAAGGATGCCCAACCGGAAACTTCCAAAAGGTTTCCTATTAGGGCAGCACCTACTGGGGTGGGAGGCCAGACACCCTGAAGGAGTCAGGATTCCTCTTCATTCCCACCATTCAGTCACAGCCTGGCGATCCCCACTGCCAGCACCTCGGCCTCCACCCCATTAACCCCGTGTGCTGATCAGGCCCCTGGGCTCTGGCTTCCACTACTGCACCCACTGCTCCAGGAGCGGGTGGCGATTGGGTATTTTGTCTTGAGCCTCAGAGCAAGGCCTGGGTTTTCTGGTCCCCAGTTGTGGCCTCACCCACTCACTGTGTGGCCTTGAGCAAGTTGTCTGGCTTCTCTAAGCTTTGCTCTTCTCACCTGCAAGAGGAGAGCGCACTCCTGCTGCAGGGAGGGACCCAGAAGTCCTTGGTGGGGAGGACTCTGGCTGAAGGACAGGCAGGCCAGGAGATTTCTCAGGGGTGGTCCAAAGATGTTGCAACACTGAGGCAGCCTCAGAATCCCCAGGGTAGCTTGTTGGAGATGCAGATCTTCCAGTAGGTTGGGGTGGGGCCCTCCATCTGAATTTTAACCACTTTCTAGATGGTTCCATCAAATGGCAGGCTGAGAATCACCACAAAGGGCCTGGTGCAAAGGGGACCCTCAAAGCATGTGAGTTTTGTTTCTTTCCCACTTTTTTTTTTTTTTTTTTTTTTTTTGAGACAGAGTCTCACTCTGTCACCCAGTCTAGAGTGCAGTGGTGCATCAGAGCCCACTGCAGCCTCGACCTCCAGGGCTTCAAGCAGTCTTCCCACCTCTGCCTCCCTTGTAGCTGGGAGTACAAGTGCGTGCTACCACGCCTAGCTACATTTTTTATTTTTGGTAGAGATGAGGGTCTCACTATGTTACCTAGGCTGGTCTTGAACTCCTAGGCTCAAATGATCCTCCTGCCTCAGCCTCCCAAAGTGCTTGGATTACAGGCATTAGCCACTGTGTCCTGCATTACTCCTGAGTCTCGCTGTGCTCCCCTGTCTCATGGGAACAGCCTGGGTAGCCTGAAGCTGCTCAGAGCTGGAGAAGGAGAAGGTTGCTATCCCTGGGAGGAAGGCACGCCCTGCCTGGCAGCCGGGTTGGGGGGATGGTCAGTGGGCCATTGGTCCCAGGCTTCTCCTGCCTGGACTAGCAGGAAAATTGTGGGACAATAGAGGGCAGCTCCTCAGTGTCCTCCAATCCCTGCTCTTCCCCAGTAGCCCTCAGTGAAAAGGGCTGAAAAACTAATTTCCTTGGGAGTGGAAAGTCTTCTGGGCAGGGCACAGCTACCATCTAATACTCTCTTCCTCCTCTCTGGAATTCTCTGCACAGTTGAGCTTTTTTGGGGCACAGTTAGGCACTCCAGGACACAGTCTGCCCAATCTCCCTTCTGCAAGGAAGGCAAGTGTGCCCTTGTTAAAGCCTTCCCTGGACTGACTGGTGAGAGCCAAGGCAGGGAGCAGATGGAAACTCTCCCACCTTTCTTTGTTTTTTCGTTTTTAATTTTTTGAGTCCGAGTCTCGTTCTGTCACCCAGGATGGAGTGCAGTGGCGCGATCTCGGCTCACTGCAACCTCTGCCTCCTGGGTTTAAGCCATTCTTGTGCCTCAGCCTCCAAAGTAGCTGGGATTACAGGCAAGCGCCACCACGCCCAGCTAATTTTTGTGTTTTTAGTAGAGACAGGGTTTCACCATGTTGGCCAGGTTCAATCTCCTGACCTCATGCTACACCCGCCTTGGCCTCCCAAAGTGCTGGGATTATAGGCGTGAGCCACCGCGCCCAGCCACTCTCCCACCTTTCTGGAGCTCCAAGGCAACAGTTTCCACAGATTCTCCTCCACCCCATCCACACTGTATTCCTTCTGTGAGCTTATAAACCACAGCCCTTCCCCAGATTGGGCAGCCTTGGACAATGGCTGAACCTCTGTTTCCTAATCTATAAAATGGGGATGATAGGACCTTCCTCTTAGTGTGGATGAGAGGATCGAAGGGGACATGGAATACCAAGGGGGTTCTCAAACAAGGAAGGGGAGATGTCAGAAAGGCAGATTCCTGAACCTCGCCCCCAATATTCTGATTAGTGGGTTCTGAGTCCAAGTTTTGGGAAAGGCAGATGCCTAGGAGCAGGGGAGCTCCCAACTCTCTGCTATGCAGGCAAATCACCTTGGAGCTGAATAAACACTCCCCCATGTTGGAGCCACCCCTGGAGCTCCTGGATCGGAATCTTGGGGAGCCTCTATGAGGCTGACTGCTCCCTTCCCTGGGAGCCTGCTGCCTCTTCCTCCAAGAGAATCCCCCTCCACCACACCCCCACCCCCACCTTTCCAGTGCCAGACCAGCGGGCTAGTTGGCTTCGACCAAAGATGGGCAGCAATTGGCATTTTCTTTGGCCCCTGGGGAAAATCGAAGGCATTTCCTTCAGACTCCAGAGAGCCCCAGCCAGTCCCTCTGCTGTTCCCCGAGCACAGAACTTTCAGCCTTTAAGGGCACATGAGGCTCAGGTTGATGGAGCCAGCTCACCTTTCCCAGTCCCCTGAGGATCGTGAATGGAGGGTGGAGGGTGGGGTGGGAGGGGTCGCGGTGATAAGGAAGGCCGGAGCAAGGGCCTGATTTGCGACATCTGCCCATCCTTGAGTGTGGGTTAACTCTTTGCTTGAGGGCAGGGCCGGTAAACGGAGGCTGGGAGGGTTCAGTGCCTGAGGTTACAGCAGTTACTGTCGCTGACAGCATTTGAACCCCGTGCTCACTTCCTCGGAAGCTCAACTTCCGTTCCTACCGCTCCTGGCCTCCCAGTTAACTTTGCAGAATCCTCTGTCCCTGACTTCCCACGCCCCATCGGGACTCCCCAGCCGTAGCCCGAGAAGGGTCTTATCCATGGCCGCTGCCAGTCTCGGGTCGGGCAGTGAGAGGAAGCAGCCACAGTGGCCCGCAGCAAGTCTCGGGTCTAGGACAGGGGCAGACTTTAATCAAAGGGTCACACAAATCTGTGGTTACCTGGAGGGTGGTGTGGAGGACGACACGTTGCAGTCTTGACTTACAGGCTGAGTGGGCCGGTTTCACTTCCCAATTCTTTGCGTCGCTAGGGCGAACCATGCAAAGAACAGGGAGGTGAAACGCTCCTGGGGTGGGGTGAGCGGGCTCCCAGAGCCGAGTAGGGCCCGGGTTCCGGCGACCGCCCTCCCGGACCCTCAGTTTCCCAGTTTGGAACTGCCTCGCCCTCCCCGGCCCGCCGAGGCTTAGGGAAGGTGAGCCTCCGTTAGCAGGGCGGGCTGGGGCGGGGCGGGGCGGGCGAATCGCGCCCGGGGGCCGGGCTGGCAGGGGGCCCGCGGACGGGCTGGCGCGGCGCGCAGTGCGTGCGGCTGCGGAGCGCGCGGCTCGCTGGCGGTGAACATCACATGAGCAGTGGCACCGGGGACCGACCGCAGCCAGCCTGAGGGCGCCCCCGCAGCCGCAGCCCCGCGCCCGCTCCTAACCATGTCTATCTGTTGTTGCTTCTTTTTCAGGGACTATGGCAGTTCCAAGAGGAAATCAGGTAAGGGAGCCTCCGGGCGTTTTCCCTTCAGCCTTCCTTCCTGCACTGTGCACGCGCTCCTCCGATCCTGCGGAGGACTTCCTGGGGCTGGGGGTCTGGGGGGGGTTGTCCTTTCGCGCCAGCCCAGGGGTCCTGCGGGGCCAGGGGTACTCGCTTCACTTGCCACTCCCCAGTGCATGCCCCCGAGACCTTTGGTCCTAGAACCCTTGTTCTCCCCTCACCGAGTCGCTCGGGTTCCCGCTACCTCGCTGTTTACAGTGGGAGTGGGGGTGGATGCATGGGGAGTGCGTGGGTGGCTCGGGAAGGGCCTAAGCCCCCGCACCGTGGGCAGCCGGGTCCTTGGCCCCCGGGCTGCGGCGGCCACTGCTTCGCAGTGCTGTGACTTCTCCGGTCCCTCCCGCGGTGCAGCGGTGATGGAAGGGTTAATAGAGACTCGGGGCTTCCCTGCGAGAAGGTGAGATTGAGATCCAGGACTGAAAGGGGTCGTCCTTGAGTCACTTGAGTTTTTAGCGCCTGCACTGTGGACCTTCCTCCCTCCCCCAATTTTGAGCGTGTTCTCCCACCACCTGCGGAGGTGGGGGCTCTGCGTTTTGACAGCTGAGACCCGACCCTCCCCAGCACCCCCACATTGACCTTACAGGTGCCAGGGCCCGCCCGGAGTTTGGAAGGGGGTGGAGGCAGGGAGAGAGGCAGGCCACCCCTCAGAGCTGCCTGCTGTGGGATGAGGGTAGAACCGGATTCTCTCTGGAAGGGGGAGGCTGGGCTCCCCAAATGGCAAACGCCTGGATGTGGGTGGGCTGTAGTTAACTGGGGGAGAGTGGTCCCTAGGAATTAGGGCTGTGTGTGTGCTGAAGTGGGGGTGGGGACAGACTGCTGCAGTGATCGGTGCTGCCACATGGATTGGCCACATTGATGGGGTGGTGGTACCTGGACATCCATCCCAGGGTCTGGCCCTTGGGGATGTAGGTAGTAACACGTGGCTCCTTGAATGGCTCCTGTACCCAAGTGCATTGGTCTGTGGATAGGTTGAGGGGTGTGCCCCTGTGTGGTGGATGGATGTGGAGTGGCATAGATGTAATTGTAGGATACGTATGTTTCTTTGTGTACAAGTGCTTGCTCACGTGCCTGTTGGGACTGGGAAAGCGTGTCTTGGTTTATGTGATGGGGGCGTGTGTGCCTGTGGGGTTCTGTGTACATGTGTGAGTCATGATAGCTGTGTGCTATAAGGGTGTATTTACTTGTTTGGGTGCATAGGTTGGGTGTGTGTGTTGTTGAGATATATCTGGTTATGGGTTGGAGTCTGTGTTCGTATTTGTGTACCTGTTTGGGTGTGTCTAGCTGTGCATGTCCCAAACTGTGTGTGTGCACTTGCCTGTCACCTGGGTGTGAGGTGTCTCAGGCATGCTTGCCCACTGGTGCAGAAGGGCATTTCTGTGAACGTCTGGGCAAGGCTGGGGAATAGCACTCCTCCACTCTCACTCCACACAGGCCTCAGGTGGGAGAATGGAAGGAGGGGCAAAACTGGAATTGTGCTCTGTCACCACCCGCACAAGAAGTTTGCCTTGGGGGCCTCAGAGGCGTAGTGTCCTGGTTGAACCTGGGCTCAGATTCTGGCTCTCTGTGACCTTGGGCCAGTTTCATACTCTCTCTGTGCCTCAGTTTCTTCATTTTCTTTAAAACAAAGATGCTAATGTATCTACCTCACACAAGAGGATTAAGTATGTTAGTGTGGAATAGTCCTGGCACCTAATAACTATACATGTGTTAGTTCTCCGCAGCAATAGCACTTTCTGAAGGACTGGGACCTAGTCCTGGCTCCATTGCCACTTTTCTCCCGATGTGACCTTGGGCAAATTCCTTATCTATGCTGGGCCTCAGTTTCCCCCTATAAAGGCAAGAGCTGGACCAAATAACCTCTTGGGTCCCCCGCCACAGTCCCTGAGGCTCAGCTTCTGCACTGCTTCCTAAGCAATGTAGGGCCACACCCAGGCTGCCTTCCCCAGAGAAAGCCAACTCCCAGTTTCTCTGCCTTCCACTCTCAGGTCAGGAAAAGGATGGATGGAGAAATTTAATTTACATTGGTGTGCTTATGATAATGGCCACTTAGTGTCGTGGTTGAAAATGCCAGCTCTGGAGCCAGACACAGGAGTTGAGAGTCTGGCTTCTCTCCTCTGTGACCTTGGGTAGATTTCTTAGCTTCTCTGTGCCCATTACCTCTTCTGTGCATTTGGGATAACATTCATACCTACCCACTTTGCGATTGTTTATTATGTGTCAACTTTATTATGTGTCAATTTGGCTGGGCCACAGTGCCCAGATAGTTGGTCAAGCATTATTCTAGATGTTTCTGCAACAGTGTTTTCTAGATGAGATTCACATTTAAATAAATCAGTGGATTTTGAGTAAAGCAGATTAGCCTCCATAATGCAGGCTGGCCTCATCCAACTGGTTGAAGACCTCTTAATAGAACAAAGACTGACACACATACATACCCGCCCCTCAGCAAAGAGGAGTTCTGCCAGCCGCCAGCTTTGGACTTAGCGGCTCTTCCCCCAGTCTCACATTTTGGACTCTCAAACCTCCACAATCATATGAGCCAGTTCCTAAAATAAATGTCTCTCTCTCTCTCTCTCTCTTTAAGCTCTCTATGCAGCTCCTGTTGGTTCTATTTCTCTGGAGAACCCTGACTAATATATACCTCATATGGTTACAACAAAGATTAAATAAACTAATATATGTAAGCATGCTTAGAACACTGCCTGCCACCTAGAAAGTTCCCCTGGAAGTGTTAGATGCTGTTATTGAATGAGCATCTACTATGTCCTAGGAAATTTACACGTTTCCTCATTTGCTGATCAGAGCCACAGTACATGAGGGGTAATAGGATTCCCATTTTGCAAATGAGAACCTGAGGCTCGGATGGGGTGACTGCCCACACACAGCCCTTGACAAAGTGAGGATTGGAGTCTGTGTTGAGGGCTCCACCCTGCTCTATAACGAATCTCACGAAGCTTCCCAGGGTCACTCCAGCCAGGGACATTTTTACACAGAGGAAATGGATGCCGTTCTGGGGTTCACTGTAAATCTCTTTCTGAGCACAGATCTCAGACTTGAGGCAAGGCTTAGGGAAGGTGGAGTCAACAGAAGAAGAAAGTGCTCAGGAACTTTCTGGAGGAAGCAGGGCTGGTGAACTTGAAAACTGAAGGAGAGTTTGGCCTCAAGTTTATCTTAATCTTTCTTCCCTCCATTGAACCTACTCCTTCCAGCATTTTCCCCATCTCAGGAACTGGCACTATCTACTGTATTGCTCAAGCCCAACATCTAGAAGTCACTCTTTTTTTTTTTTTTTTGGAGATAGAGTCTCCTCTTTTGCCCAGACTGGAGTGCAGTGGCGCAACCTCAGCTCACTGCAACCTCCACCTCCCAGGTTCAAGTGGTTCTCCTGCCTCAGTCTCCAAGTAGCTGGGATTATAGGCACCCGCCACCACACGGGCTAATTTTTGCAGTTTTAGTAGAGACAGGGTTTCACCATGTTGGCCAGGCTGGTCTCAAACTCCTGACCTCGTGATCCACCCACCTCGGCCTCCCAAAGTGCTGGGATGACAGATGTGAGCCTCCGCGCCTGGCCAAGAAGTCATTCTTGTCTCTTCCCTTTCTTTTACCTGCCAGCTTGAGCTGCAGAGCCACTGTCTCCTCACCTTCACCATCACACGTTAGAAGCCCCCTTCATCTCTCCATGTAGATGGTCTCACTGATTCTCTATTAGCCCTCTATCTGACATTCTCCACACCACAGCTAGAGTGAGCTCTTAAAAAACAGGATCAGCTGGGTGCAGTGGCTCATGCCTGTAAATCCAAGACTTTAGGAGGCCAAGGCAAGAGGATCACTTGAGCCTAGGAGTTTGAGACCATCCTGGGCAACAAAGCAAGATCCTGTCTCTACCAAAAATAAAAAATTAGCCAAGTGTGGTGGGACATGCCGGTAGTCCCAGCTACTCAAGCGGCTGAGGTGGGAGAATCGCTAGCAGGGGTGGCTAGCCAGGTGAGAAGTTTGAGGTTGCAATGAGACATGATCGTGCCACTGCACCACAGCCTGGGCAACAGAGAGAGACCCTATCTCTAAATAGGAATGAGGGAGGGAGGGAGGAAAGGAAGAAGAGAATAAGAAAGAAAATAACATACTTTCCTGCCTGAATTCCCCCCAGGGACTCTCCATCCCACCCAGAACGAATTCCCTACCCTGGCTCACAGAGCTTGTGTGACTTGGCCCCTGGCTGCCTTCCTGACCTGGGCTTTACCCCTCTCGCCCCACCCAGCACACTCTGCTCAGCCACACCAGTCACCTTCTGCTCCTTAAACGCATCAAACACATTCTTCTTTGTGGCCTTTGTACTTGTTCTTCCCTCTTGCCTGGAATGTTCTTCCCTGATCTTTCACATGGCTGGCTCCATCTTAATATTTCTGCTTAAAATTGTCACCTTGTCGGCAAAGCTGCCGGATCCTCTGCTGTCCAGCCGCCCCACAGGTCGCCCCTCTTCTTCCCTCCTGATCACTTCCCACACTCCAGTGATCGCATGTGTTTGCTTCTTCTGTCTCCCACCACCCCGAGCAGAGACCTTGGCTGCAGGGCTTGCATCAGTATCCGGGGCCACTGGTACTTTTCACATGGGTGGATGAGTGGAAGAAAGCATCTATGAGTGAACCTTGTCCAGGGTCGGGAAAGAAAGGTCATTGTGGCTTCAAATTGGGGGTGATTATCTGGAAAGAGGAGACATTTTTCTGGTTTGGGAACAGAGAGCGGGAGCCTTTGGTAATCCAGAGAGGGCACATGCACAAAGGTAGAGGGATAGGACTAAGTGTGGCTTGTTGGGAGACTGACCTCACTGAGCATAAGCTGTATGCTAGGCGCTGTGCAAGGCGCTGTGGCTGTAGGTCCACAGGTGAAATGTCTTCAGGGAAACCTCCACCCTGCTGAAGGCCTTTCAGCTGTTGACTTGGCCC